TGCCAGTACCAAGCTGTTTTGATTACTATGCTTTATAGTAGAGTTTGAAATTTGGTATTGATATTCCTCCAGCAGTGTTCTTTCTGTTAAGGATCGTTTTTGCTATTTGGGGTCTTTTATGGTTCCATATGAATTTTTGGATTGCCTCTTCTATTTCCTTGAAGAATGAAGTTGGAATTTTGATAGGTATCGCATTGAATTTGTAGATAGCCTTGGGAAGTATTGCCATTTTCTTGATGTTGATCTTTCCAATCTAGGAGCATGGGAGTTTTTTCCACCTTCTAAGTTCTGTTTTGATTTCCTTTTTCAAGTTTTTAAAGTTTTCATCATAGAGTCCTTCACTTCTTTGGTTAAGTTAATTCCTAGGTATTTTATTTTTTGTGGGGCTATTATGAATGGAGTTGCTTTCCTAATTTCAGCCACACTTTTCTCATTGTTGGCATACAGAAAAGCTATTGATTTTTGAGGGTTAATTTTATACCCTGCTAGAAGTAGCTATTTTTCTATTCTTACATGTTCTTGATTCTTCCTCCTACTGCCTAGGGTCCTTGATAAGATATTATCAAGGCTCAAACACTCTCTTAAGAGATTTTCATTTAGGACAGCAGCAAGAAGGGTTAACAAATAGTTGGTATGAAAATGTTCTTAAAAAGCTGAACTTGGGGGCTGGGAAGGTGGCTCAGTGGTAGAGTGCTTGCCTTGAATGCATGAGGCCCTGGATTTGATTCCTCAGCACCACATAAGCAGAAAAAGCCAGAAGTGGTGCTGTGGTTCCAGTGGTAGAGCGCTAGCCTTGAGCCGAAGAGCTGAGGGACAGACAGCACCCAGGCCCAGAGTTCAGGCACCTTGACAGAACAGAAAAAACTGAATTTGAACCAGAAACATCAGTAGTGCTTAAACCAAAGGACAGAACTGCTGCACCAGAGATCACATGTAACCAATCTGTGAGATCTGTGCCTTTAGTGAGCAGGAGTAGGCCCTGTTCCTTGCTCTGGCAAAGGTGGTAATTCAGTTGCCCAGCAATGTCATACAAGGCCTGTATTCCTCCTTTGAAGTCACTCCATCGTTGCCTGCATTTGCACAATCCTGTCATCCTTCTCATACTGGTTAGAACTGAGGTTCCAGGATGTGGCTCACACTGACTTCATTGGCTGAAGCCTTTGACTGACACAGAATAGTTCTAGGTAGAATTACATAAAGCTGTCTTGTCTCTTAAACTTTTTTTTTATTAGTGTCGAAGGCACTAATGCACACTGATATTAATAGTAAGGCCCAGGATGTTGGGTACAACTGCTGGGTGAGTCTGTCTGCAGGAATAAAGGGCTGGGGACCTGCACACCTCAGTGGTAGAATATTTGCCCAGCATTCTTGAGTCTTAGATTCAATCTTCAGCACTAGGACAAAAAATTATATTTGATACCACGGACAAAACTTGGAGAAACTGAAAAGCCCTATGGATCACATATGTCTCTCCTCCTACTATTCTGTTGGATTATATCAACACAAAAAGCAAATGTACCATCAGATATTCCAAAGATTGCATCCCCAACCTGTATCTGCTCTAACCTCTCCTTTGTCTAGGGTAGAAAAGGGAGTATACTTGCAAGATTAAAGGAAATGTTTGGGGTATGATTTATTTCCAGATCATTTGGACATGAAAACATTAGGTTTTTATTTATGTATTTATTTTTGACAGGAGAACTAGACCCATAATTTATATCTCTGAATTCATACAGTTGATTTAATATATGTCTGACAAGCATCTGTATTTATTATAGTAATACTTTCGCACTGTGCAAAGCAGATGAGGAGCCTGTACCTCCTTGGTTCCCACTGGTCTGTTCTCCAAAGGAATGAAATCTTCCAATATTCTGAAGAGAGGAAGAAGGGGCTCCTTAAGAAAATTAAAATTAAAATTTTATTCAAATATTTGCTGTTTTTCAGACCTGGCTGAAGACAGACAGAGAAAGATGCCTGGAATAAAACTGAGGTATACTTAGTTGTCCTTTTTTTTTTCTGGGGGAGAAAATTTTTTTTTGTCGGTCATGGGGCTTGAACTCTGGGCCTGGGCGCTGTCCCTGAGCTCTTCAGCTCAAGACGAGTGCTCTACCACTTGAGCCACAGCACCACTTCCAGTTTCTAGTGGTTTATTGGAGATAACAGTCTCACGGACTTTCCCGCCTGGGCTGGCTTTGAACCTCGATCCTCAGATCTCAGCCTCCTGAGTACCTAGGATTACAGGCGTGAGCCA